AAGAGTGTGCAGTGATTGTTTTCTTTCACATAAAACCCATCAATACATGGAAGTATATTTGAGATAAGATAATCAAATACAGTATTAGTCAATGATAAATTATTTTAAAAATTATACATTGGCTTACATAATCTCATTATCTCAGCGTTGCAAGCAGCCAAAAAAGCTTAATGAAAACGGCACACTCCCATTTGCACCAAATAGAAGCGGTAGAACAAAAAAAAAATACTGTGAATATTTTGGGTTACAGCAAACCCTGACATCTTAGAAAAACAGAGCAGTATAAGAACCTTCTGACATAACAGGCACTATTTGTTCAGCTGGAACTGAAAAGACTGTGTGAACAACTGAGATATGAACTCCGTATATGTGCCCTGAACTTTTACAGGACACAAGAGAACTTTCTACCTACGAATGCTAATGAAAAATAATGAAATGTGAAATTCTAGTCTCACTTTATTAAAAGTGTACTTTTAACCTCCCCCTCCCCCTTTTTTTTTCCTTTAAAAATAAAACTGAATTAAAGTACAGTGATTTAGTGTGTAGAATTTTTGAGGGTATTTTCCCCCCTGCTCTGCAAACAGTGGAAAATTAGAATACACTAACAGAGCAAGACATAACTATCCTTTGTTATTGGCAAAACACAATTAAAGGGAAGCAGCAAAACAGTGGCAGGGAAGCATAGGACCATGGACTCATATACCTATAAATACGCAGATCATAACTTCCTCATTCCCAGCAGGAATAGGATTTCTATTTTAACAAATATACCAGACTCAGAAGCTGCTGAGAAAAATCCAATAGAATGGAAAAATTTACAAAAATTCAGTACACTATATTCTTCTAAACTGTCTGAATTTACTTTCAAGATTGGTCTTTTAGAAGACACATCATTAAGCCTTAGAATTTATAGACTTATTTTTCACATGACCACCCTGAAATTCAAGAAAACGCTCTGCTGATCTTTGGTTTTGTTTGTTCTTTATGACACACTTTTCAGCTACCCTTTTCTGCCTCATTAGGATTAAACCCAGAATACCAGATGATCTTCCAGACACCTTCAACATATCTACATGGAAAGAAAATTCTTACCAAACACCTAAATATTAAAGTAACACCTGCAGCAATTAAGACCTTTATATTATTTATAATATAAAGTTCCAGTAAGACAATTTGTGATAGTTGTTTAAGGTTAGAAAGTTTTTTCCTGAGCAAAAGATGGTCAGAATTTGTGAAAACTACCAGGACAGGTTTTATCACTTGAACATTAGAGAGTATAAAGTAGTAAGCTGGTCTGCTGTAAGTAATCATATAAAGCTGTAAAAATACAAGAATCCTTTCTCCAACCACAATGCTGTGCCTCATGCTATAAAAATAGAGCAGGCATGCAATTTCTTTTTTCCAATAAAGCTACAGGGCAATTTTCCAGAAGAAGAAGAATGAATTTGGAATCTTATTACAAAGACTTCCAATTAAAAATCACCAATTAAAGGAAGATGGCCTCAAGCACTAAGTCTCTAAAACTGCTTGTCAGAGAATTGTCAGTTCTAATGAAAGCAATTAGTAACTCAAGTTTTTAGACTACTACTTCTGTGTACAAAACACTGTTACAAAGGTTTTGAGGCACCTACCTGAAATTACAGAAGCAGTACAGTATTTTGTTGACATTCTGAAGTCAGACTTTATTAGGGTAATTAATTGTCTATGGTTACTACTTCTAGTGGACCATGAACATTATTCTGTGACAAAAAACCCCCCAAACTTCAAGTTACATTAATCAGAACAGCTATCAGAATAAAAATCTAAGCAAGTTGGTACAAATACGAAGACAATATGAGCTTCAGGATAAAAATCTCACAATCTGCCACCCTTAAGGGACAGCTTTCTGCATCAAGATAGAGGCCATCATCAAGCTGTGCTGGCTGTGCAGCCGTTTTAACATGGTCAAGGACTTTGATTTAAAGTTGCACACATTGTTAATTTGGTTCAAGCTGATGTTATGTTTGCACAAGAAAGCATTTCACAGTAGCTCAACATTTGCAACCCAAAACACATAGCAGCATTAGCAAACGTGAGTTTCTAAAGAAAACCTACAAGGTATGAAGAGCCGAGATTGGGAAGTGAGATGGTGTAGATTATAAGTGCCTCTGAAACTTGTATTTTACTATTTGCCAGAAGTCAGGTTTTCTTCACAAAAAGAACAGAAAAACATCAGTCTAGAAGCATTACACATTTAGACAGTTCTACTCCATTCCATAAAAACTGGAAAAGTATACCTCCATTTTTAACTACTGCTTTTAAAAATGTTGTTCATATTCATTTTGTACTCGCCTTCCTCACTTTGCAGTTACTAGTAAATTTAATTGAGTAAAACCATAGAAAATCAGGCCAGACAGAGAGACTGGTAGTAGGGCCAGCATTTCTAAATAACTATTTCAAGACATACTCATGCTAATATTGATAGTTTGGGGTTGGTTTGGTGGGTTTTTTTGTTGTTTGTTTTGTTTTTAACTTAATACTACTAGATTTTAATTTTCAGGTTTTTTTAAATGTGAAATGTCCAGTCACATGGGACTGCTATTATTCACAGCAGCACCTTTGCAAACACTGTCAGCATGGAAGCCAAAGGCAGCATGGCAGCAAGGTCTCCTCTCTGTTCTCAACCCAAAAATGTGAGGCTCATTTAGCTAAGTTTGGAGAACATATTAACAAGACAATAAAAGGGTTGCACTGCTACTATCCTATTTCATGGTAATTCCTTGAGGATGAAAAGAAAACCAGTTCCTAGAAAAGTCAAGCCAACCTCCATCATAAATATTTAGTTCACTTCAACTATTTACAGCTATAAGAACGGTATTAAACATTTGATAAAACATTAAATCTCTATTTTGTTTTCTTGGTTATTGTAATTACAATACCCAAGAAAGTTGTTTAAAAATTTGAATCTATTTCCTTAAGGTTCCTGAAGAACTGACATTCTTCAATGAACTCCGAATCAATTTCTACCCCTTTGAGTATGAAAAGTTCGTATCTAGGCAGACAGTCAAAAACATAAAACAATGGGCATATGCTGAATCTCTTTAATCAAGTGTTGTTAATATATACATCTTCAAAGACTGAAAATACAGTTAACAAACGTATCTAAAATTTGCATGAAAAGGAATTTGCAAAATCTTTAGGAAGAACTATGAAGTTAATTCCACTGGAATTGTTATCTACCATGAAATTACCTACTGCTTTTCAGAAAAGCAGTGTCTAAAAATGCAATTACACCTTGTCACCTCACAGCCAGAGCATATTTTATAGAGTTGCTTACATTTCCCCCACTTAAGAGACTGGTAAAGCACAGGAAATTTTGCAGACTACTGTAAGCTGATTTTGAGGAAAATCTTTCACTTACTGAAGCAAAGCAATAGCGTGCACATTTGTAAAGCGATACAACAATTACCATCGATGTAGAAAGCAATGTTTAATGGAGATAGCCATTTTAAAATTTTAATTACTTACTCTTATATGTAGAATATATCTAGGTATTACCTCATCTACTAACAAGAAAAAAATATTACTTATTACTGTACACAAAAAAAGGATATCATTCCAAAACCATAAGAACCACGTCACGTACATCCAGAATTTTGTTGCCAAGTATATTCCAAGAGGCAGTGCACTGTGCATGGAATGATCAAAGAATGACCTGTAAAGTAGGAGCAATGTCACATGATAAGTTTTGACTTATAAAATGTAAATCCTGAACTACTGCTTCTGAAACACACTTCCTGTTAAAATATGTACTATATGGGATACCGCAAAATACAACATAAAAATATTTTGCTCACTTTTACCTTCAAAGTTAATGAGAAATTCCTGTCAACCTGTTCAGATGAAGGGTCATGACTGAAAGTTACTTAATTAAAATTTATACATTTACTTTTGAGGTGAATGTCAAAAACTGGACAAGAAAGGTAGAATGAGTAGATACTCATGCTAAAACTACGCTGTGAAAGCAGCTAGAAACCTGTGAGTTTCCTAGCCTACATGGATAGTGGTTGCAAACTACATTTACTTATGAGATTTCAGCACTAAAGATATTTTGGAAACCCATACAATGAAAATTACTTGTTAAAATTACTTCAGTAAGGAAAAAGCTTAAGAGACCTTGGTGCTATCAGCCTACATACTTTAAATATTTCACATTCTTGCTTCTGTTACAGTTGCCAATAGAAAGTTGGGGAAAAAAAACCCAGATTAATTCATTTCCCACATCACTAGATTTGCCAAGTTCTAAGATAAAATGGTGCTACTTAAATTAAAAATAAAAATTAAGCCATCAGAATTATTTTCACCTTCTTATACTCTTGCATTTTAAAGACTATTCTTAGTTGAGACAAACTAGGTAAGTGATTAAATTACTCCATATTCAAGAAAAAACTGCTAAACAGTCACACTCCAAACTGCTAAACTCCTTGAAATAAAACTTCTTCCATCATCTGCCTAAACATCCTTACATCGATCCATTTTGCTTTTTGTCCTGGTGGTGCTCTCAGGGCTGCCACAGACAAATGTGCGCACTGAGTAGTTTCCATTTCACTCCTTTACTCCCTTGCAGTAACTGTCTCTTCTCTAATGGAAGTTTCTTAGGTCTTTTGAGAAAATTCTTTAAGGAAGATGAGCTAAGATAGTAATAAGCGAATACACATTTGGACACACAGTAGTTACTCAGCAATAATCTTTCTTTCAGCGATTTCTGTGCATTTTTGTGTGTGAAAGGAGTACGGAGGAAGACACAGCTAAGCAGGTTAGCTAAAATTCAACAGGGAAAGGAAATACTACTAGAAAAATAGCAAAAGTTTAATTTGAACCTGGGCTTTGTGAAAAACGCTTCAAAAGTATTTATACTAAACATTTAGCAAAGGATAAGAGAAAGTAAGAATGTTAATCCTGAATACATGTCAGGTAGATCAAAAATACAAAACTTGACAAAACATAGATCTTGAGAAACTTGAAGAAATCTCGTCCTTGCTTCTTACAGGAGGTGTGGTTGAGGATTTGCATTGCCAAATAAATTATTTGTGGGAGGAGGTCAGCAAATTGCACAGCCTCAGATATGACAAAAAGACTGAACAGATCATCTCCAAGATCCTGCAAAGGCAAAAGCTTGATGACGCCCCCACCTCCCTCCCGGTGTACTAAGTTCACTAAAATTCTATGAATTTGGATTAAGGAACAGATATGTTTTCTTTTCCTCTTTAAACAGAAAGGAAGGAGAAGCAAGTGTTTCTAATAAACATGACATTCAATGCCAGAAAAGCACAAAGCTTGTAAGTATGAAGGTATAAGTTCTTCTACACATGCCACACATGACAACGAAAAGCAAAAAATAGATGAAGTAGTCTGCAGATCTTGAAAATCCATTGCAGCATGCCTGCATGTATATGTGTGCGCATGTGTATATGTAGGTGCATTTACAGATATTTAAAGTAATCACAAACACAACCAAAATTCTTTATGATCAGGTAACAAATTAAAAACATTATTAGAAAGCAGCCTTTTTCTTTAGTCTCCCCTTTCTACACCAACAGAATCTACAAAATCTGACTCTGACTTCATTCCTCTCTATAAATCTCTTTAGATGCCTTTGGGTATTTAAATTCTAAAAAAATACATTTTAATAGCACACTTGCACATATCTTTTTTTCTATTCCTTTCTGGTAACTTTTCCCTTGACTGCTCTCTGCAAAATTCATGCTGATAACTCTTTGTAGACAGACACTCAGCACCCTCCTCTGGATAATGACTGAATTTCTGTTCTGCCGTTAGCTTCTGTTAGCTCAGTGGTATTCACCCAATGTAATTCCATGGCTGTTTGCAAGACAACAGAGCATTACAAGAGCTAAAGTCACACGCGATCTTTCCCAGAAACAGTAATAAAAAAAATTCCAACAAAAAATTAATGTTGCATGTTGAAAAAACACACAAAAAATATAAATTTAAGATTATTTATCCAACAAAGATGCCAGCAAAACACTTCTTGTGTGCACACTAAACAGATAGTGTCCTGGTAAAACACTTACTTTGAAAGAAACTGCACCATAGCCCAAACGCCACCATACATCAGCCCTTTAATGAGCCAAGAATCAATGTCTAGGTCTGCTATAAACCCAACCAGCCAAATAACTAGGAAAGGAGTTCCCAGCATCACCTTCTGACGGAATTCCTATATAGAAACAAATATCAGTAAGTAACTGTTTTCAGGAACAGATTGTATAATAATATTCTATAATAAATAGGACAGTAACAAAAACTTCAATAAATTTTCAGGAAGCTTCACATAGAGGGAGGAATCCTCATAATTTTTTCTCATTTTATATATCTCCAATGAATGTGCAAGAAAAAAAAATCTTCCTAAAATTTTATAACAAATCAGCAATTTTATTTATTTATTTTAGAAGAACTGACTTTGCTGTTAATCCAGAATAAAGGCAACAGTAGCTTTTTTTTCAGAATCTGTCAGAGTGTATAAACTACTACACAGCACATGGTAATCTCAGTGAACTTTAAAGGCTGCAGTTATGTAAGTAATAAAGTCATACTGAAGCATCTATGAAGGAGGATAGGACTTTTTTTGTCTTACACTATGTGCGTACAATTCCTGATGAAGGCACTGAACTCCTTCCAGATATTCAAAGCACAGTCACAATGCACATGTACACACAATGCAATGCACAAATCACTTAAAGTCAATAATCACTGCATTATTATATTATCACAGGGTTAAAGCACAGGCTGTAGCCAGTGCTTTGATCATCAAGATGCAATGTATCTTTAAATCAAGAAGTCGTAAGAAATCAGTGATAGCAATACTTAATATCTAGCAAAACACTCTCCCTGGTCAGAATATATTAACTCTATACAAGTTATCAAACTATAGGCAGGTAGACAGTTCTTCATGCCAGGCCAGTATGTTACCCTTGATACCCTCATTTCTTGCCTCCTCCTATCTGCAGTATTAAATAATAACCTGAGAAGAAAAAGGCCTCTACATTAGAGATTCATATATTACATTATACTGCCAAGATGGACTACTACTTTCATTCAACACAAAACACTACATAATTATAGAGGAGATCAGAGTTCAGGGTATCTAAAATGCTTCTTTCCTTAGATACTTGAGAGTCAGCTTTGTGAAAGTCTTGGCTATTCCTAACATTACCAGACCAGCTAGTACTTTCCTAACGTTCCGTTAGCACAAAAACTGAAGGTAACTGTGTGGAGGCTTAGGGTTTTCTTTCCTCCTGCCTTGAATAAAGTTTTTTTTTTTTTTTCTTTTGCATTTACTTTTGTCATAACAGAAAGATGTTTCCTAAAACTGAAATGTGGGGAAACCACAGTACTGAACTGCTTACCTTAAAAAAACCAAACACACACACCCCCAAAGAAACAGCAGCAGTAATACTGATTTATGTAAGTGTTACACTACTACTTACCTTATCAGCTTTCAGTTTTCTCAGAAAGGATGGACTGTCATATCCCTTTGCCTGCCTTGCTTCCTGTAGGTGATTGATCATCCAAACGTTCTTCCTCTGTTTTGCTAGATCAAGTGGTGATTCTCCCTGCCAGGAGTATAAAAGTGGGAAACATCCAATTTTAAAACAAAATGCATACAGAGCACTTTTGAAACAGAAGATTGGCAGGTAAAACCAACACATTTTAGATCAGTTTAAGCTACATTCTGGCATACTTTTTGCTCTGCAGCTTACTTGACACCAAACATCATTCATTCCTTTTGGTCTTTTCCTCTCTCTCATAACTATACATGTGTGGACAAGCAGAATATTAAATGTGTGATCCTGACCATATGTGTGTCCTGACATAGCAATAATTGTTGCCTTTGGTGTAACACATCTGCGTTTCACTCTTCTACACACAGTCTACTAGTCTGTAAGTGAAAGACTGTGCTTCCCCCTCAGCTATTGACAGGCAGCAGAGATCAAGCAAAGAATAAGAACTCGTGACCCACTGGATCATGGAAACTTTCCCAGTCTAAAGCCTGACTTCTCAGTTAATTCTCTGCCTTTTTGGCAGAGTGAAGTTACTAATATCATGGAATGTTTCTATACGGAATTTTTTTCACAAGCTTAATGCTCTTATATTCATCTCAGTTACTGAAGTCCTAGGAAGAAAACGGGAAAGAATAAAATTGATTGCTCGTGTCCAACTTATTCCAAAACTCTGAGCTTTTACGCTTAGCTTGTGCTTCACACACTTTGGGTGCCAAGCCAGCAAGGGGTCATGCTTTCTCCTTCCCTACTTTCAGAAAGGACTGACAGACAAAGCAAAAGAGACACAGAGAGATACAGGGGCCAAAGATGCCTACTAAACTCATTTGATTTTATTGCTTTTTAAACATTTAGGAAGAGAGCTAAGTGAAAGTTATTGACTGGGTCTAAAATTATAGAGGAGGCAAGAGACAACCAATTGCAGGTACCTCCAGCTGCAGTTTTGCATTTGACTCCTCCTCTCTTCTACTGGAGTTAACTCCCCTCCTAAACAAACCATTCATGGAGGCTTGAAAAATGGCTGAATCCTCCATCGCTCGGCCCCCTCCTAAAAAAAAAGTGAGACAGGTACCAGAAACTGAAATTACCCAGAAGGGCAATAATTACTATAGACAGAAGAGATTTCAAAGATTAAAAAGTACAGTTAGCTACCTATATCCCATAGAAAGACAATGGGAATTGAGTACTTAACTGTCATTTTTGCCTTTGAAATCTTGCTTCAAATCTCTAAAAGGAGTGTAAATAGCACAGACTACAGATTATAAGGTGAACCTTCTTGCTACTTAACAGGATCTTGCACTCCTTCTGTGCAAGAATTTTAACTAGCAAAATCAGTTAAAAAAAGAATAACCTTTTGACCTAACCTGACTTCAAAGTTATTTAGCCAGATGTTTAAGAAACAGGTAAGTTAACTCCACCCTCAACAGAAATGCCTGAAATCAAACTATGGTGCCTACTTCATCACAAATTTAATAGCACCTTGAACTGCTAATATCTGGAAAACTCCAGAGATGCTGTTATTTTAATGTCACCTTATATAGCCAGACTGTAAAGATTACCTGTGGACAAGCAATCCCCTCTGGGAGTTGATCTCCCAAGTAAATCCTGAAGTTGTCTCGGGGTCCAGCTGAGCATCCCTTCCACTAGAGGGCCATGAGACACCTAGGAACTGCCTAGATAAAAAGATTGAGGGAGCTTTAAAGAAGTCTTTGACTATGCTTATTATCTGGCCATTTTAATATTTTCCTTGTATTCACAGGGGTGGTGGATGGCTGACTTGCTTAGAAAGCAAAAAAAAAAAAAAAAATATTGGGGAACTTAATCTAGTAATACACTTAGTTTGTCAGCAAGCAATAAGGCTTCAATAGTATATATTTAAAGTGTTTAGATAGAAAGAATAATCTGAAGAGTCATTACCACAAGGAACTTTACATGTAGACTTCCACAGACAAGCCTACAAATACACTGCATAATCAAGAACTACATCTAAAGTACATTCAATGATTCATGAACATGTTTAAAAAAAAAAATCTTCCTTAAACCATAAAAGCTCTTTCAGGTCTCTATCACTCTCTAATAAAAAAGGATTTTCTGCTTCTATTTAAATAAAAGTGACAGGTGTCCCCCTACCCCCAGTGATAAGCTGATTCCCTGTGAAATCCTGTCCTCATGTGCCCAATCTGTCTACTGGTGTGGCAGATAATTTCCTTAACAAAAAAATTAACCAAACAAAACCCCACTCCAACTACTGAGAAGCAGCTTCCAACTCCAACTGTAATCCAGTTCTCAAAAAGAAAAAAGAAAGTAACTCACTACCAAAAGAAAAGCACTATTTTCTTGTGCAGCATAATATAAAGAGAATAAATAACACAAACAGGACAAACCCACTGCTTGTATCAAGCTTTATTCTAGAATAAGAGTGCTACTGTTCATATACTTCTCAAACGGTCATGCAAAGTAAAAAGAGCACCTTACTGAGATGACTGGTTCCAATTTGTTCCAAACCTAGGCGGCCAGCAGCATGCGTCTTTCTAACACAGACTGCCTAGAGCTGGTAACAACAAGGTCAAAGCTCACACCTAGTATTTTCAAGCCACTTCATTAATTTGAAAAAGATGAATGGCTTTCAGACAATGTATTTCTTTAACCTTAGCTGTCTTACCACCACTCTTCGTCAATTCCACGGGCTATCTGAGAAAAGGACTTCACTAGATAGTGCTGCAGAAATCTGGAAATGACTGCATCAGAAAGGAGCCTTTCACAATTCCTTTTATTTCTGGAGAAACATGAGCCAGACACTTAACAACCGTTCTTTGGCTCAGTGAAAACTTTTTTGCTGAACAGCCAAAGGTGAAGCACAAAACTGAGTTTCTATATACCTACAAAAATCAACCAAATCCTTATGTTTCCTGTATGTTTACTATCACCCAAATCAGCATCTCTTATAAAGCCACTTGGCAGGATGGCAAAACTGCCACTGCTAGAATAATTTTGATCCTCTGAACATCCTAGAAACCTGGGAAGGCATGCAAGAAACCTAGACTCCACTGCAGAAGGCAGGCAGCGGTTAATGAAACCAGGCACATGTCTTCTGGCATGACTGGAAAGATACAATGATCCAGCAGGTTCAAAAACCTATTTTTCTACTGACTGCTGCTGTCTGTCAATAAAGAAGGAGAGACCATGAACTGCTTCAGGCTAGCAGGTACTTCGTCATTTGGCCAAAAACATACAAATTTTTATTACAGATTTCATAAAAGCCCAGAAATGTAGGTAAGGTGATGACTTTAAAGCTCTAATCACACTGATCAGTCTGCCAAGGGAAGCAAGGTATGACACGCTGATTTTTTTTCCACAAAAATACCTTAATTTTTACTATTAGGTGGCATCTTTTCAACAGTTTACAAGAAGTGAGACTAGAAGCATAATTCATCCACACAACTGACCTTACAGACCATATATTCACACCAGTACATGCAAGAGGCTAGTTGATTTGTTTTAAACATGTGAAAAGCCATGTGATTTTTCTAACGAGTTTTCACTCATGATCATCAGTATTTCTGATATTCTAAAGTGGATGTAGGACCTAGAAAGCTACTAGCAAAATTTGACTGCACCCTTAAAAAGACTGTTCCATGTTCAAGAAAACAGATGTGTGTATATACATATATATTTTTAGCATATTTCCATCACTTGTGTCCAAGCAAAATAGGCCCTGGCCATCTTAATCAGTAGGGAAAATGGTGAAAGGTCAAATAAATACTTAATTAAGTATTTAATATTCTATACATGTAGATTTACAGCTGTATTTTCCAGTGTAACCACTCCATCTGTAACACTCATTAAGTGGAAAATACAAATATCTGAAGAGAAATTGAGAATTCTTTTTCTAAAAGTGAATTCTTCTCTGACACCACAGAAGAAACAGCTTGGGTGGTGAAGTGCATGTCGTTTGATATACAGAATAGCCCGGAGGCAATGGACAAAACCACGTTCAACAGGCACACCTTCCACTGCTGGAGAAGCTCTTACAGACTGCAAGCCTATGGCATAAATTGTAACAGCTGCTTGGCTGGTCTAACATATGCTAGGGACAGGCTCTGTTAGTGCTCAATCTAGCTACATCATTAAGAAGTTCTGGTAGAGTAATTGGGCAACTTAAAGTTCTGATGCAAAAAAGAGCCCATTTTCTTATTTTACTACTATTGCTATTTTTAGGCCTCCAACATCCTTACTGCCACTGGGAGATATACCAGAGCATTTGTCATCTCTCTGAAAGAGACATGGACAATCGCACATCTCACTCCAACAGTCAGTCACCCCAGAACTTCACTAGAAGCCATTCAGTCAGATTTTCAATTTTGCATCCAAATACATGGGTCTTCACGCATGCAGTCTAATTGCACACCCCACTCCCATATATTTGCACATAACCATTGGCACATTATTTACATGAGTACTTTTGAAGGTGCAGATTTAGTGGTTAGGCATCACTGTTAGGAAAAACTGATTCCCAAATTAAACGTTAGTGGCATGGCTTTTGCCCCATCTTCATGATCCCACCATACCCACAATAATAATCTATTTTTGAGATTTATCATAGGCTCTGTTATTTCTGCCTCAAACTACTTACAATAAAAACAGACCAAGTGTTTACCTTTATATTTTGAGCATCAACATTAGCTCCAGCTTCTAACAGAAGACTAATAACTGTAGTATTTCCTGCTAGCACAGCCCAGTGCAGTGCTGTGTTTTTGTGATATTTGTCTCCAAGATTAACAGAAACATTAAATGTAAGTAGTAATCGGGTTGGATCCACACTAGAAAAGAAAATTCTTGTTAGATCTACAGAAGATGAACTCAAATACATACGAACTTCTTGTTAATGAGTTCAATTTCCATAAAGAACATTGGTCAGGTACTCTATGTAATAGCGAAGCGACGTCTTTTGCTGATGATTATGAATGGCTCAAACTCCCCTCCCACCAAAGAGCAACCACAATTCTGTTGACTTTTAAAGGAGCTCAGTAAGACAGCTTGTTCTGGGATGTCATGAAACACCTTTGTTATACAATTCTGTTTTCACGTTTACCAAAACCTAACAGTATTAACAGATTTGTAAAAGCATGCACAAGATTATATACTTGGCAGGTAACCAAAGTTCAAAACATATTTCCAGTTCACATTCCAAAATATGAAAATAAAATAGGATGATAATGTTGGTAATGGTAGGTATTCGTAAAAGCTAGCCTATGTTTCTCCCCAACAATCGATAGAGATAGCCCCTTCCGATCAGGAATCTAATTCAGACAAATTTGCTCTTTGGAGAACTGTTATTTTACACCAACTTTTTCCAATCATCTCCACAGGAAGATTTACTTTGTAAACTAAAAGTTCATATTAGTGAGTACTTCTGCAAAACACCCTCTCTCTTGAATAGGCCATTGTACTGGTTTTGGCTTAGATCAAGTTAATCTTCTTCATAGTAGCTCCTACGGTGCTGCGTTTTGGGTTTGTGACCAAAACGGTGTTGGTAACACACCCACGCTCTAGCTACTGCTGAGCAGTCCTTAGACAGAGTCAAGGCCTTTTCTGTTTCTCACGTTGCCCTGCCAGCAAGTAGGCTGGGGGTGAGCAAGAAGCTGGGAGGGGGATGCAGCTGGGACAGCTGACCCCAACTGACCAAAGGGATATTCCATACCATATGATGTCATGCTCAGCAACAAACACTGGGGGAAAAAGGAGGAAGGGGGGACATTTGGAGTTACAGCGTCTGCCTTCCCAAGTAACTGTTAAAGGTGATGGAGCCCTGCTGTCCTGGAAATGGCTGACCACCTGCCTGCCCATGGGAAGTAGTGAATGAATTCCTTATTTTGCTTTGCTTGGGCGCACAGCTTTTGCTTTATTGATTAAATTCTCTTTATCTCAACCCACGAGTTTTCTCACTTTTACCCTTCTGACTCTCCTCCCCATCCAGCTGGGCAGGAGTGAGCAAATAGCTGCATGGGGCTCAGCTGCCTATTGGGGTTAACTCACAACAATCATAAATGAAGACAGATAAAGTCACAATTGTGGAAAGAACATTGACTATTTAAACAAACAAACAAAAAAACCAAGACAAAACTCTCCAAAAAATCAAAACCAGTCACTATTATATGCCAGTTAGTTAACATCAAGAGAAATTCAAAACTGCAGTGAGATATTACCTATGTGTTCTGTAAGCTGCCCACATTAAAGGTGTCATTCCATTTTGATCCATCATATCTACATCCTAAAAAAGGAAAAAATAAAAAAGTTGGTGAGATAAGTAAGCATGCTCAAGATCCAGTAGATAAAAGGTTTCCAATGAGAAGCAGTATTTTAAGACTAACCAACTGAACTGGAAAAAAACTGACAAGCTTTTAGGACATTAAAAAAATAGTATTTAAAAAATGAAAACAGACATTAATACCACCATTGCAAAAATATAACCATTTCAATCTATTCTGGAAACATGCTGTATAAGACTAGTCATTTCTACCTTACTATTAATCTTCAACATAAAAGAGATATATATATGGTGTACTATTACATGAAAAAGCAGGAGAAAACTAAAATAATGCACCAATATCTAATAAAATACTTGATAAATTAACATAAATACCACAGCCTGAATCCTACATCCTACTGGATGACAGCTGCATCTATTTTTCCACTTTCAAAGCAATTTTCCTTAGTTCACTCAGTTCCAAAGGTATTTACACATCTGGATATCAAGTTAATGGATGCCAGAAAATTTCCTAAGTTAAAAAAAAGCCATTAATAAAAACAACCTACCCAGAAACAAAACTGATCTATAATCAAGTGGTGACTAAACTGATGGCTAAAAACAATTAAAAAAACCCTCATTATTACATTTAACAGAACATAGTCACAGAATGGTAAAACAGCACCATCCAGACAATTCTCTTAGCTCCATCAGAAAGGATCTAATACCTACAGCATTTTTTCCTGTTATAGATCCCTGCCTCACTAACATGGAAGTTGGTCGTTCCTAAATATACTGAGGCAGATTAGACTCTCAAACACATTTGGGCAAGTTCCACACACCACCACTGACAAAATTACTCTAAGCTACCTTAATGCAAGACCTGAACAGTTTCCCTTAGAGGCAATAGAGCTATGTCAGTATTTCCTGTGCTACTTCCCTCAGTCCCTGCTAGTAAAATTAGGTTGAAAGTGTTTCAATAAAGTCTTTTGCTACAGAAACTACTGACAGAAACCAAAAGAGCAGATGATGTTGCTTTCTATCACCCCCAGAACCTTCTTCTCTGCTCCAGCAGTCTGCCAAACGCCCAGCACCCTTGGATCCATGCTCACGGCACTGCTAGCCTGACCCACGCAAAAGTTTTCCGGAAAATCCAATTTAGCTCTTCAAAATAATTGGTTTTAAAACATCCCTAGCCTGCAGATAACTTCCATTTCTGAGTTTTTACTCTGTTGCTTAACTTTAAAAAAAAAAAAAAAATCAGAAATTTAAAAAACAGTTGATAGAAAGAGAACCATTACTTGTATTGTATTGTTTGTTCAGAAAAGAGTTACATGCACTGAGACCGGGATCCAAGTCTGTTTGCCCACAGTACTTGTATAAATTAGATCCTTCTGAGCCTACTAGGACTGCGCAACCATTGCCACTACCTTTATCCTCCTGTTGCTGAGACTGTGAAGGAAATTAGAACCGTAGCCTAATGTCAAGGTCATTCATCCTTGAGAAGCATAACTTTGATTCACAGGTCACACTGTGCAAACAACGTATTTTGAAGATTGTACAAATTACTGTAACATGAACAATCACCCTTTCATCTATAGATTTCATATAGAAAAGCAATTCTTTGTGACCAACAGCAGGCACCCGATTGCCTGGATGTAAGTAAAGTGATGCCTTCAGTGATTCTACCTGACAAATCAAAACTACACTTTGCACACTAGTGACACTCAGCTAAAAGAGAAAGAAAAAAAAAAAAATAGCTGTGAGCTCCAGACTATTCCCTGCACATAAATTACCTAGGAAAACTACAGTTATTACTCTTAATAAGCTACAACATGGGCCGAGGCACATCCCCATTCAAATGAACTTTAAAAAGAGGCAAAGCAACTAAGATTGACTTTCATACTGTTGTACAGATGTAACAAAGATGATGTACTTGTGGATAGCAGATGCATGCTCTAACAAGCCTCTCAAAAACTCTTTCTTCTTTTGCCAGATCATTATCGCAACCGCACAAGTGGGATGTTTCAGAAAGGAAGCTCTGTTGCTGCTTTTTACCAAAGGGCCGAGTCAAAAAAGTAAGCCTTCACCAGCAGGTACATATTAGGAGACTGTTCTTCCATTCTGGTGCGTACCAACAGGCATTTTAGCATTAATTTCTTGTTTAACTCTCGGCGACGGGTCAATCTGATAATGCTCATGGGGAGGTGTACCTATGCTCTTAGGACAACGGTACAAGCACTGCAAGAACCAACTATTTCAACAGTAAGTGATTCAAGTATAAAACATTGCAGATACTGCTGCCCTCTGTATGTATTTCAAGTGTGAACTCCATGGACCACAACTGCCAAATTTTTCACTAGCCTCTGAAATAGAACAACTCTGGTTCTGAAAGAGAACAACTTTGCATATGCAAAGATAGCCAGACTTAATCCCAGGACACCAATACAAGATTCAACAAAAAGCTTTTGGAGAGGCAAAAATATAGGGGAGAAAGAGCTTCCTGCATGGAAAGGAGATGTAGCAATTGTAGAGCTGCTTAACACTACTTTCTGAAAGCAATATAGCTGATGAGGTAGGATTCCTAATAGCAGCTAGAGACCAGAGCAGCATTTAGGCTTACTAGGACATTTAACAAGCAATGGTCAAACCAGTACTGCAATACAATACGACCTTTTCAAAAGCACAAAAAGCATCAAGAGATTCCACTTAGAAGTGCATTACATTGCACAGAAAGGACCCAGCATTTGATCCTCTTTAGAACCATTACCGGTTATTTCACAAAACACAGACCTTCATAGAAAGGCGCACCAAGCACTTGTTCAGAACTCTGTTCTCCGTAAGGAAAAGATCTCTTTCATATGAACTGTTGCCAGGGAAAGGCAAACGGGCTTCTAAAGAGATGACATACTCAAAAGCATATAGTAAAGAAGATTTATCAGGAAGGGAGATGTAAGGTTGAAAACATTTCCTAATTTAGGAAAGACGTGCTAGTTATTCACGAGAAGCAGAGATTTTTTAGGATTCTTGTGGAATGAACCGAGTGCAGACCGACAGGCAGCTCCTCAAGCAAGGTAACACACAAAACTGAACCTACCTTGTCCTTTCAAACAACAAAAGCTCTGTTCTGAATACTCTAGTCCATCACACGCAGAGTCAGTTTTGACAATCATGAGAGAGAAACATGACTGGACATATAATTCTGTAATTAATGTGCTGTAAGTTGGGTCTAGGGAATAAACACTTGGTTCAGTGTCTTACACTGGCCTGAGCCCAGTGGAGAGAACGATCCTCAGTGCCAGCAGAGGTAACAGTGCTTAGGAGCACTGCTCACAGACTGCAGCACCAAAGTAACCAAGGCTGCTGGTAGCACACTGCCATCTCCCAACCTAGATGCCAGCTACTCCTAGGCCATAGCTCAGAAGAAGGCCGTATGTAGCTCAGGACAGTAGTTAACACATAAAATTGCAACACTGAGAATAAAAAAAAATACATACTTCATGAATAAGTGATAGTTAAAGGATGAGTATGAAAGAGTTAAACTATAATTTTAGCTCCAGCATATTTCTTATACCATGATTTTACCCACTAGCAACTTTGTAGTCACTCATTATCTATGACTGAGGTAAGTTATGTCACATCTGCCACAGGATGAGAATACATTATTCAACCATCCAACATACCATATCCATATCTTAACTTATTCCAAGGTGACATGTTTGTGTATCCTAGGCCCCTGATATGCCTTTGGCATTTTAAGCGGTGTAAAGCAGCGTTGAGCATTCAAGTAGCACGAGCATCAATTTTGAACGTTTTTAAGTGCCTTCAACCTCTTTTCACTTTTTCTTTCTTGCATGTTTTTTTAAACAATGATCTTGCTTAAACGTGAACAGTGCTACAGATTCTGTTACTTGCTATCTGATTATATTTATATCCTGTACTTGTCCCAGGCTTGATTTTGACCCAGGCAACCTACTGACACAAACAACATGAGCAAATTAGGATACAGCCAGGTATTAGTCTCTCAAAATTCAGTAAGAGACATGACTAAATAAAAAGCAACGGCTACCAGCCACTGCTGTCTCTTGGCTGAGTAGTACTTCCTGGCGTGAAAGTGGGTTCACCTCCAACCAAGGCCAGAGGGCATCTGACCAAGAGTTCTTCCCCTACACCACACTCCAGAAGCTAGAGGACTGGACTCGAGCCTCAGACTGGAAAATTTACCGTTGGCTGCTGCAGCCCAGGAAGAGTGAAGCAGCAACACTGAAGTTGGGTTCCAGCTCTGTCTCAAAAAGGGACAAAAAGCAACTAGGAGCAACTTCTTAATCCACCTGTCAGTTCTCTACACAGTTATGAAAGCCGGCTCTCCTCTCATCATGCAGATCCACAAAGGCATCAGGATTAGAACTAAGAAAGCCCAATAGCCTACACTGACATTTATTTAGTTGTCATTTACCACACAGGCACTGTACAATTAGGTTCAGAACAAGGGCAAGCCCACTCTTTGGATATAAGAGAACCAGTTCTCTGTAAAGGCAAAAAAATTTTGCAAGTAGTATACAGGGTAAGGCCACATAAGCAAAAGCAGCTCAAGTTTCCAAACCCAAATCATGGCATCACAAGAGAGGTGAAAACAAAATAAGGAATTAATGACCTCATACATATTTATTAAAGAAGAATAAAAAGTTGAATTGTGTATTTCCCACAGCTTCTACAGAAACCAGGTAGTTTCTGTACTTGTGTGTATTATAGCTAGAGAACTATGAGTTTAGGGATTGTTATTATAATGCTATGGATGTAACTATATTTTAAACATACTATATTTTAAACATACAAATCAATACATAATTTTAAAATTAAACTTTTTGAAGTGTTTCCAAAAATTACTGTTAATATTAATTCAAACTTACAGCATGGGAAGGATACCAAAGTCATACTTGGTAACATTTGGGGCATTTAATAAGAATTATCCTTTTAAAAAATACTGATAAGGAGAGCTGTTTCCAAGATAATACATTTTAAATTTTAAAGCAAGTTTTGTGTGTTTATGTATGTACACATGTGAACACACACAGCTTCTTTTGGACTGAAGTATTATATGCTCAGATAAATAAGACAAGTCTGTCTATAAACATGAGGACAAACAAACATTTAAAGGGAGATTTCATAATCACAGTAGAACATTTTAAAAGCCATTTATACTTCATTAATGCTGTGCTTTAAACAAGTTCGCACATGTATAACATCTGCAAGATTTTTCTGGTAACATAAAGCCCACATACAATTATACATAATTTGTGAACAAAATACAAAACTTGTTCCTGATGAAAAAGCATTTCTCTCCAATCATTATCTCTTACAAAATAGCGATTATATATGATCAGCCTCTTCTTGTGCCTAGCTTACTCTCTATCGTACACTAAATATTGTTTTACCAAACAGTTCTCAGATACAAACTGAATACTACATGGAGCAACAGTTTGGTTTTTTACATGAATAGGCACAAATCATTTTCTGCAGCAAATTTAGTATTTCTTACACAGACCAAACCCACTGATTTCATAGTCATATTCTACCTGACTCATTGGCTCATACCTCACTTGCTCTTCGAAAGAATAAGCAGAATAAAGGAGTGTGAACAGCATTAGCAAGACTGTAAAAAGAGAGGAGTGCTTTGACCTTTCTATATGGTTTACAAAGTAAATCAAATTTGTGCTTCAGGCACGTATCTGTGGGTAAGTAAATCTACAAATTATAATGCAGGGTGAGTAGCAAAAAGGAGAACATGTTTTTGAGCATACAGAATGAAGGATGGGAAGAAGACAATGAGAACAGTAATGAATACATAGACTATATACACACTTTACAGATCTAGCATCAATATAAGAAGCTAGCAAGAAGGTTTTGCATTGGTTTGTTTTTTTTTTTTTTATTTATATATGCATGCACTTAGTAACATAAATAAATAAAAGTCGTGGACTGAGGTGTAAAAAAAGAGATGACCTATGACAACTCTTTGTCATAAGATTCTTTACCCATGTATAAATTGTTGATTCTATGAAGACTCCTAAATATTTGCTATCATTGTCACTGTTAACATTTAAAGATTAAATTCATTAGAAATAAGGAACAGTAAAAGAATAACTGCTAGAATTTCCACATACTACACTAGACAGGTATGAATTAAAGCCAAAGTACTCACACCACTGTTAGAGGAAATTAAGTTAGCAGGTGGAACATCAACACTGTAGTCTACAATAAAAGACACTGAATTATTTAGTCAGGTAAATATTTTGCATTTCTTGAATGATAGGTATAGGTTTCAACTGTTTTCCTATTCTAATTTTGAGCAGAATCTGTTTAAATATGGTATTACTTAAAATTTACCTGTCCCTTTGCTATCAGGTAAGCAACAATCGAAGTATGTCCAAACTGGGCAGCCAAATGAATACAGCTACATCCTTCTCCATCAATTAGCGACGGATCTGCCCCATATTTCATCAGCTGTACAACCATGGATAAGTGACCCTGTCTAAATGTAACAAAACACAAAAAAACAAACAACTGAGTAACTATATACAGAAAAACTATTAAAATTTGAGTATTTGAATACAAGAAACATGTTTAGTAGTTAATTACACTACCAGAGCTTCTGCACTGACTTATACTTTGAAAACAACAATTGTCACGATCTGATTCTGGAACTGAGTAAGCAAACTCATTCTCATGAGCAAATTCTATGCAGCCGATGCATGCATCCCATGCAACTGGCTTAAGTGTGTTGTATACCAAAAGGCCAGTCAACAAAAACCCCAAGTTACTAGTTTAGAAATCTAGTCTACTGTGACTTCTTCCAATCTACATATGAAACCTGCTATTTTAAGAGATGTCAAACTGGCTATATGCTCTCACTTTTTGTGGGGCATATGGTTTATCTTTCCACTATTACAAACAGTAGTGAAATAAAAATAGGAAGGAAAAAAAGGAAAACTGAGGGCCTACACTTCCTCCACACTACATGAAAAGCTTAAGCATATTTTTGCATAATGAGCATAGGCATATCCTTCTTGTTGATACAGTGCCTAACTGTCAGCACACAGTTTCTGACACGAGCAAAGACCTTTTCAATGTCAGAAGCAGCTTTGGACAATGCTTCACAGAACAACAGATTACAGCTATGAACAGCAGAAGATTTAATCAAGCTTTTGTGCTATTGACACAGAAGGTAGAGTGTGATCTGTAACAAAAAGAAATATACAAGCTAAAATCTTTAAGAGGCTAAGAGCAAGTCTTTAGTAAACAAATTATTTTGACACATTAAATGTTCTAAAAGCTAATTTTGTAAGTCTCCTTTTGCAGTCTACAGTTTAAAAATACTAATATGGACAGTGTTCCTTTCCTGCCTATTTCTAAGTGGTTGTCTGAAGGAGCAGCTACTACTCAAAGGCTATCTTCAATTTTTCCAGCCATTCGTCATTCTCGGACCATCTTCTACGTCATAAATCTGATTTTAAGTGCATCTTTAAAAGAATCCACACACGCAATAGAACACTGAAAGGACAATGTCACACAAAATCATCCCAAGCCCCATCTGCAAAAGTGTTGCTGAACTTCAGAAGACTGCCAAAAACAAGATCTCCAAAGTAAGAGTAAACCAAGGTGACTAGACTCTAATTTTACTTTTACTCTTTTTACTTTTACTTTACTCTTTTTCCTATCATAGCAATTACCTTCCTCTACATCAGAAAGAGATTAAGACAAAAACTGAACTACTTGCTGAAAGCTCCTGTAGCTCAAATATACCACATTCACAGTGTGCCCAGTTATCAATGACTGAATTAATTCTTGTGCAAAGTATTCCCAGAAAATACAGCAATTTCATAAATCAATCAGTAGCAGATTCCAAATTAAAAAAAAACACAGGAAAACAAAGTTCCAGAAGACTTTTCCCCACCTTGTTGCCCAGTGAAGTGGGGTAGAATTTAAATCTCCTCCAAGCTGATCAACGATAGCACCTTTTGATATATAGTATCTGGAATAACAAAATTAGTAAACATTATTGCTTGTCTTGGTTAAATATAAAGGACATACAGTAAGCATGTTTGATGTTATGCGAAACAGGCAGTTACAGACCGGAAGATTGGAACCTTTCCTTGCCTTCATATAACCTTCTTTTTAAAAGGTCATGCATATACATTCGATTTTTTGCCTTTTTGATGTGGGTTGGGAGAGCAGGGATGCTTCCTACTGTGTTTTAAACATGCTGCTATTTCCTAGTTTGGTTCTAAGGTAAAACAGAATAATTGATATAGAGAGATGTATATATCTCTTTAAGTACCAACTGTCCTACCACAGAAATATTTAATAAAATGGATTCTTCTAAAATATTTAGGGGTTGCTGCATTAAAAAGAATTCTGAATTAATGGTAAAAGAATATGTTGCTAGAAGACTAGCATATTTAGAGAATTTTGGCTAAAATGGCAAAATTGTATACAATTGAACTTGCAGCATGTATCATGACTGGAATGGCCCCGCTGAAGTCATTGTTCCAAGAGTTCACGCTTAAGTTACATGTTTAGCCAAGTACTAAGATTTTTGCATACTTCTCAACTGTTATTAATCAAAGGACAAAAAACACCTGAGTATTTAAAAAATAATTCTAAATGATGGGCTAGAACTTATTTTGCCCTCAAGAGCATTTATAAAAAGATGAGTTACCTGTAGGAGCAAAACAAGTGACCCATATTTAACTGCAGCAATTCATATTCATAGTCATTTGTACTGTTTCTGTGAACTGTTTTCCTTGCTGTTTTATATGAGACACTAAACTGGCAATATTACTGTTCCTTTGTGAAAGACAATGCACACCTTACAAAGAAATTAATGTTTTTAAGAAACAGGTTTTCCCAGAAGGCTTCCAGCTCTTCATTCACTACTATATAAGCCAGTGGAAAAAAAAAGTCATTACTAACAGGCCTTTGAAAAGTACTACCTATCTATAGATTCCTAAGTGCTTGCACATTTCAAGTACCTGTGCCTGCAGACTTTTCGCTTTCAAATACCTGTCAGGTATATATGCATCCTGCTTTCCCACCCACACAAACTGTCCTTCAAATCCTCAGCATTGAGTTTCTGACACCTCAATTTCCTCTAAGTGTTTCAAGACATGGCAAGAAGGAGGGCAACAAACAGAACAATTTAAAAAACATTACTCTAAGTAACTACATTCTTTTTGCTTAGTGCTTATTGATTCAGGGTGAAACTTCAAAAAGCCCAGAAGTTACCTTTAAGAACAGAAACTGAAAAATGCATTAGCTATCCATGTCCACACTGAAAACATTAAAAGGAAAAGTCCTTTTATACAGTTGCTTTAGAGCCATCAGACACAATGAAGTACTTCAGCAGACTTGTCAAAGTCATACAAACTCTGGTTTGTGTGACAAACAAAATCTGGTCTGATCGACGCAGGAGAGTCCACTCCACTGGCCTCCAACACCGAAGGAACAAAATTGCAACATCTGTCTGCTGAACTTAAGCTTTTGGGTTTCTCAAAGAGAACGTCCAAAGATTTTGTGAAAGTCTTGGTCCCATGTAGATGGAAAGACAAGGCGTATATAAAGGGACAACGTAATTTTGTTATTGTGAAGCATAGTCTCAACTACCAAAGAACGAATCTGAAAAAGACACTAAGAAGCTATTTAGTCCCCCTTTGGAAGGAGTTTCCAAGGAAATCTTGTCTAGATAAAAGACAGCACAGAGAAATTCACAGTCAAAGCTTGGATCTATCTTGCTGATGTGACAGCCACTCATGGGGAGGTGAACATTAAACAGATTGTCTTCATTCAAACACTGATCGCTGCAGAAACACAAAATATGTTCAGATTCTACTGAGCAGCAGCACTGCTTACTGCTTAGTATGTTTTATTTAGAAGGAAGAACTTGCAGTTTTGACAACTGGGAAAAGACAAGGCGGCGATCTCCTGCCAGATGGTGCATTGAAGTAACATTTTATGTTTCCTTAAAGGTGTTCTTAGACTAAGTTGAGATTTATCACTGCATTTCATTCAGTTTCAGTACACATAAATGGTGAGATTTTTCTGCAAAACCAGACTGAGAACTTAACCTCCTTGTCTAGGTAGATCTTGCAGAAGCAATTTTGTGCTTGGTGAGAATGTCCCTGGAGAAAGGAAGAACTGGGTGATTCTGCTCTCACCGAGTCATCTAAGCTTCCACACTAGAAGATGCCAGGTATGTAAGTCCTATTTAAGCAATCTACTTACATTCAAAGCAAGCAGATCTGATAAGAGGTCGCCTTAAGAAGAAAATACTTCCACTGATCTCCACATTAGGATCACTAAGTCTTTCCCAGGCATTTGAAAAGTGCCCCAGCTTGCATTCAGTGCTTGTGGAATCGAAGTGCATGCAGTCACTGTTGCTAGAAAGAGGGAAAGTAGAAGAGAAACCCTTGCCTGGAGGAAGTTTGACACAGGGAATGGGGAAATGCTGTCAGTAGGTAACTGCAGAGATAAAAGGCCAATTTTTGCATTAATACAAAATCAAGCTGCAGACAGACCAACGCATCAGTGTTGTCATGGAAAAAGAATTACGTTGTGGATGTCTGACACTTATCCCTAATCCTACAGAAATAAGAAAAGGTTCCGTAGTTTTCCTTGTAAAATATCAATGGGCTTCACCGGTACCTATGCTGAATCTTAAGTCTCAAAATAGACAGGATGAGGAAATACTAAAAACAAGAGAAGTCTAATTCTAAGCTTGCACTCTCCACAGACGAGCTGCTAAGCTACTTCACTGGGAAGACCTTACATAGTCAATACCCAGTAAGCAAGACACTGAGACCTGGTATCATGAGAGCAGACCACTTACACTTAGACTCTATCTCTGTGATATGAAGCTCACTATCCAACATATTTAATGAAATTATCCATTGCACACAATGGGCACAGATAGTGGAGACTTGGGGAAAGATGTAATAGGGACCAAAGAAAAAGAAAAACACAGAATAATTTAATGCTAAGGAAACAGAACAATCCAGTGTCTCACAAAAGGGAGAGTGAGAGAGCGCACGATATGCTGGGTGATATAAACTAAACCAAATCAGGACCCCCTAAAGACAGAGGAACTTGGAGTATAAGAACTGCATTAGAAGGAATGAATTTTACATGCAGTTAAAAACATTAGTAGTCAAATGCACTCTAGTGAACAGCAGGAAGAAAATGCAATGCAGTGTATTGTAGTGGGAGAGATGCATCAAGAAGGCACAAGAGCTTTCACATACTGTTGAGAAAAAAGGAAGAATTAGACACATTAGATTTAAGAACATTCAATTAAAGTCATATTGAATTAAAATTCTCAGAACAAGTTTCCAGCACTCAAATGTAGGTGGAGAGATCTCCCTAACATATAATAAAGACCTAACTGGAAATTCAGATATGAATTTCTGCGAATCTGACATTTTCATTTTGAACCACCTCTATGCCCAATGTAATTACTAAAGCAGGAAATTGTTAGCAACATGCTTGGAGGGGGAAAAAAAAAAAAAGGTAAAACACAACATGAAATACTCGCATGCTAAAGTACTTTCACAAATAAAAGAGGACTAATGGGAAATTTAAAACTTGGCCTGATTTTACTCTGTGAATGACAGAAGGTCCCCAAACAAATTTTTTGGGCAGATTTTTGTTTGGTTTTGATTTTTTCTAAAAGAAAAAGCAGTAGAATACATAAAATGCTAGTGAACCAAAGCATTAAGTCATGATCAAGTATTATACAGGTACAGGTATACACTGCACTGCAAAGCTAATACAGAAACTATACATACGTTAATACAAAAACAATATAGGTGTATTTTTTCAAATGCCTCATGTCATACTGATGTTTTTAAGCGATGATAGTTGTCTCAATGCCATTCACTTTTCAGACCTTATAAAGACGTATCAAATGAGATGGAATATCTGTAATACAAATGTGTCTTCCAACAGCTCAAAAGATAAACAATTCATTGCACATAATTAATTATACATTCAAGATGGATAAAAAAAGTAAGCTCAAAATATAACAATTGCTTTTAGATGCTGTACTTTCCTTAAAGAAAAACAGCTATCTGAAAAATTTTACGCATTTCAGTTATTGCACAGCAAGCTGTAAGATGCTAGCCATTGAAGACCCAGGACAAGCCAAAAGAAAAATGGAATGAAAAGGAAGAAAACAAGGGGGTCTAAAATGTACTCTCACAAAAAAGGTTATTTAGGTAAACCAGGGTCCTGCATCACTTTTGCAAGAGGGTCTCTTTCAGCATGCCAGAAAGCACATTGGTTACTTATCTTATAACGAAGGGAAGATACCAAATGCAGAATTATAGTTTCCATGATAAGCTTCTACCCACATTAAAGACATAAAACCTGCTGTGCTATCTGTTGCATATAATAAAAAAAAAATCTTTCAGAAACACTGTATTATTTCACAGAAGCATTTACTTTGGAAGGGACCTTTAGAGAATCATCTAGTCTAACCATCCCTGATCAAAACATCTAGATCGTGTCATCCAGGACCATGTCCAGTTGTGGTTTTAATATCTCCAAGGATGGAGAGTTCACGATCTCTCTGGGCAATCTGTGCCAACGCTCAGTCACCCACACAGTAAAGTAAGTGTTTCCTATGTTCAGATGGAATTTCACATGTGTTTTAATGTGAAATGTCTTCCTCTTATCTTGCCCCTGGGCAGTACTGAGAAGTCTGGTCTGTCTGCTTTACTCCCTCCCATCACGTATTTATATACATGGATAAGATTCCAGGTATTATATTACCAGGTATCCCAGGTACTTGTACACATTGATAAGATCCTCCTTGAGGATCTTGTACACATTGACAAGATAAGCCTTCTCTTCTCTAGGCTAGGAAGTCCAAGCTCTTGCAGCTTCTCCTCATGTCAGATGTTTCAGTCCCTTAATCATCTCTGCGTGCCTGCACTGGACTCACCCCAGTAAGTCCGTACCTTTCTTGCAAAGGGGAACCCACAACCTCACACAGATGTTCAGCTTAAACAGCTGAGTAGAGAGGAAGGATCACCTCCCTCAACACGCTGGCAATGTTTTTCTTAATGAGGCCCAGTATACCATTGACCTTTTTGCCGCAAGGCTGCATTGTTGGTTCACAGTCAGCTTCCTGTCCACCAGGACCCCAAGGTCCTTCTCATCAGATGTAAATCTTTATCTATTTACCTAACTTTATCTATTTAACCTTCTTTTAAGAGAACTGCATCAGGACACAGAAAGTCCTTTAAAAACAAGATGAGAAACATGAACCTGAGATCTTCCAGAAACTCAAGACCTGGTCTAATGAAGGTGCTGGTGATGGACATACACAGAGAGAACACGCTTAAATGAAGATGTTTTGCATTTGTTTTTATGTGTACGTACACACATTCACTAATAAGAACTGTTTTGACAAGTGGACTGATTGAAGATGTGCAGTTTGTGTAAAATATTCTGGAAACCTGCTGATTCCATAATATTTTGTATATTTAGATTTAATTGCATGTACTTAATTAATCATTTTGTTACTAGTAGAGGGGGAAGAAAAAACCCCAAACATTCTACACACACTCATGATTTGTAAAACAGCAAGCCCTAAGAATTATCCCTTCAGAATTTAAGCTCTCCATGTTCTGAAAGATAATAATAGGTTTTAAAACAGTCTCAAATATTATGCTCCAGATTTTATAAGCTGAAAAGCAGAAAAATACCCCAAATCCCATAGCTCCCAGAAGACTGTTATTACTTGAAAGGAGAGGTGCTGCAATGTTACCTGTTGTAACAGCTGTGTTTTTAAAATGCAAAGAAGTTATTTCAGTTAGAACTTCTTGAAATGCTGAATGAAGTAGAAATTGCCCCTTGCATCACATTAATCTTGCTTATTGAAAAACATTCATTACCATCTAGCATCAAATTTCCCCTCCTCCAAAAAGAAATTTGGCATTTCAACAAGTATACCATAGTATAAAGGAATTGCACGTGCAGCTGAACAGCTGTTCTGCAGGTTTATCTCATCTGAGAAATGTCTGAGCTTGACTTCTGGACATTTAATAGGTTGTATTTCTGTTAATTGTGTCATCAAAACATTGCTGCCAAAATGCAAATTAGGTCTTTTGACTACAACCCTGCCCCCAGATTTCAAGACAAGAAACTGAATTTTTAAGAGAATTAAGATTATTTAACACCTTAAAAAAGAAATCAACATTTTTAAGGACTTGATTGGTTTATGTTTAAGTTAAAGTGTAATACATACTTCACCAGATCTATCCTGTTGTTGATTGCAGCCCAGTGGAGAAGCGTTACGTTTTCTTTGTCTGGCTGTCGTACATCATAACCTGCTTCCACCAACTCTCTACATCGTTCGTATATTCCATACCTTGAAGAAGAAAGTAAGATTTTTCAAAGTTGTTACCTTGGATAAGAATGCATTCAGCAAACACCATACTTATGGTCACAATACAAAAGCTTCAACAGAAAAGAAATGAAGCAGAAACTTTACTTTCTGTTTCTGTATGATTATAGATCTCTTGCAACAAGAAGCTTCCACTGGCAGAAGTTATATTAACCAATTCAAGATTTTACAGAAAACTTGTCTCCGCAGCAAACTATACAGTAGAGCAAGGGAAAATATAGATAAGTATTAAACCAAGTATCAATAAAACTATTCTCTTCCCAGGGACTCACTACATTTGTTTCTCGCACTTCTGTTCTCCTTCATTTCTACCTCTTGAAGACCAAATGAGCTTAGCCAACTGATTTGACAGTATCTTCCTAAAATTCTGATGACAAGATCATCAGATCAATTAAACACACTAACAGAGCTCAAACACTTCCCATTTTTCTTCTCAGATAACAAACAAATAGCAATTTGTCAGATATAAGTACCATCTACTTTTTTATACCACTTCAAAATTCTATATTTAATAAGAAATTAATTATTTCATTAAAGATGACATTTAATAATATAAGCTACCTTCGTGTGAAAAAAAATTCTGCATACTTTTTCAAATTTGAAACAATTCAGGAAGAGTAAACATCACTTAGGCACCTAAGGTAGGACGAACTCCAACGTTAAAGAATGTTTGTCTTGATGCTTACACTGTTTTACCACCTACTTTTAGTGGCAGTAAAAGAAATGCAGAAAGGCAAGTAAAGATTACATTTCAATGTCTGTACAACCCACAGAGATTTCTCAAGTCTCAAGGAGAAGACTGATGTGTGGGCAAACCTTGAAATCAAGACCAATGCCTTGTGACATCTGACTTCTGCTAGAGCAGAATGTTAACAGCCTCTCAAAGTTGGAACTGAAGTAAGTTTTCCTTATGCTGCTTCTATGTTCTACTTTCTGCAGAAAAGACAGCCTTAGACAACTTAATGCTCCTTTGCTCCACTTGATCAGCTTGTGTAACTGATGCTGAGACCTTTTTTCCAGGGTAGTTCTCATTCTTGCTTTTTATTTCCTGTATTTGAAGGGATCCTCAATCTGGACAGCGCTCCCTATAGTGAAGCCTCAAATGACTCAAATCGGTGAACCTCAGGAATGCTTTCCAAGCCTGTCACAGGCTTGAAGCACATACATTAGTTGGACACTGTCAAAAAAGAAGTACTAGACATAACAGCTTACTTAGATCATGTTGTTTTCAATTTCTTAGGAAAGCTGCACTAGAAATTATGAAAAACACTAGAAATTGCTCTCATACCTCTAACTTTTCCAAACATTACAAAAGATCAGAACAAAGACTATTCCGTGCAGTACATACCAATTGGCAATAAGCCTGTAAAATCTGGTCCCTTAGAACGAGTGAAAAAGCAGCAGTCATGAATAATTTTGACAACAAAGCTTTGCTTTTAGTCAGTTAGAGGGGGAGAGAAGAGGTTTGGTTTACGAAGACTTAAAAATATGCAACCAGCTAGACAAGATACACATACTCAGACATACATAACTGCCAGGAAAACTGATAAGGTTCTAAGTCTGGCCAATCTTGAGGCACACTATCTCCCAAGTCCAGTCTGGATCAGCAGTGTGGCCTGGTGAGTGCCTGTTCAAGTGGATTAACATGTACCATTCCTGACTTTCCCACCCCCAGCCGAAAGGGCCACTGAAATAGGTAAGGACTCCTAGAGGCAGGTCAGCCAAGAACGAGGAGTAAGAAGAGACAGTAGAAGAGATAGGGTAAAGAAGGACTTCTGAAAGCAAGACAGCAACTTCTGATCTTACTGCAGTACAATATCACACTATCACACTAGCATATTACAACATCTGGAGGTAACCTAGAAAGTGATCCATATAGAATAGCAAAACACCCTTTTGTTGACAAGCAGTTCTACTCCAGTCAGCTATTATGACAACCTTTCCTACTGTAGACAAGCCTGCTGCCTTCACTTAAACAACTAAATGAAACCATAATCTAAGAAGTAGCTGACCTACAGTCCTGCTACTAGGTTTAACAGTCACCAGCTAAAAAATTGTACTGCCTAAGGCTGAGTTTAGCTGACACTCATCCTGCTTAAATAAGTACTACGTATACAACAAGCAGGAGTTATACTAATAAAATATTCAAAGTTACTGGAAAGATACACAAGAACATAATAATGCTAACTTCTATAAAGTGTAAGAGGCGATCATGTAAACCTTTCATGCAATGGATTAGGATTTTCCTTACATGTACCGGTTTTGCCTGGGATCAACTTAATTTTCTCCACAGAAGCTCCTGTGAAGCTATGTTTTGGATTCGTATGCAAAACAGCATTGATAACACAACAATATTTAAGCACTGCTCAGCAACAGCTTACGCAGTATCAAGGCCTTTTCTGTTTCTCATGCTGCCCTGCCAGTGAGTAGGCTGGGGGTACACAAGAAGCTGGGAGGGGACGCAGCGGAACAGCTGACCCCAACTGACCAAAGGGATGTTCCATTTCACATGACACTGCTCAGCAATAAAAGCTTGGGGAAGGAGGTGGAAGGGGATATTTGGAGTTATGGTGTTTGTCTTCCCAAGTAATTGTTACACATGATGGAGCCCTGCTGTCCTGAAGATTGCTGAACACCTGCCTGCCGATGGGAAGTAGTGAAGGAATTCCTTGTTTTCCTTTGCTTGCACATGCAGCTTTTGTTTTCCCTATTAAACTGTCTTTACCTCAACCCACGGGTTCTCACTTTTACCCTTCTGATTCATTTCCCCATCCTACTGGAGGGGGAGCGAGTGAGCAGCTGCATGAGGCTCAGCTACCTACCACAACATTACTATTGGTCAGCTATGGTAAACCATACAAATGATTTAGATGAGTGTCCCATCAAGTTAACTACACAACACAAAATGAACCTCCTTGAAAGTAACCTCTGATACCTAGTCAAGTTTTTGTTAGACCACGCTACCAGGATACGTATAATGAAGCAGCACTGTCACAGTCTTGGTGGGGGGTGTGTGTGTGCGTTTGTTCTTTGGGGTTTTGGTGGGTTTTTAATTTTATTTAAAGCAAATCTCTAGTCTTACAGAAAATGTGATGCTGGTTTCTGAAGAACTTTTCTCAAGAGATATGAAAATGAAGGAGAGCTGTGGCAAGCACGTGAATCGACTCTGCAGCCTGTTGAGGCAGAACACTGTTGCCAATGGCCCTGCAGAAGCCCTGACAGGATGCTCTAATTATGCTCCACTGATGTTTACAAATACCACCCTCTAGAATTCACCCATACGCTGCTGTGAGGCACTAGGCAAAGACTACCGCATGGGTTCAGATACAACATGGAGTAGCAGGAATGGATTCCTCCTCCAGGCTTATCATCATAGAGTTCCCCTCCTCCCCACTGGAAGGCAAACTGCACGTCACAGGTACTTCCTACTGCTTGGCCACAAAACAAATCATGAAGTTCTGCAATACATCAGAGAGCCTTCCCAGGAAAACAAAATGCTTTCCAACAGTTAAACTGAGAATGAGGTATATAGCAATTTTTTATTTAAGTCACCATCAGTTTGTCTGTTCCTAGCAATTTATTTTGGTATCTTGAACTCCTGAACTCAATCATAACTGAATACAAAAGATGTAACACACAAGGCTGAATTTAAGAACTCTTAAATTTATTAAATTGTCACAAGAGGACTTAAGGATCTAGACAAGACAAAATCTGCCTGGCAAAAGATGTTAGGAATTTACAACAATTTGCTCCTCTTCCTGGAAACAGCAAGTTCTCTACAATTAAATAGAACACTGAATCTGATGCAGTCATGGTTTCTTGAGCTCTGTCCTAGAAATGCAGCATTCTTCTCCCACGTACTACCTACAGCCTTCTTCCATCAATTTGCTGCAGCTGACTTCACCTTGCCTTCTCCAACGGTTCATGACGCACTGTTAGATTACAAAATGAGAAAGTCACCTATTTCAGACACTCAGCATAATCACACTCAGTGTTGCTACAAACGGCTCTACGCTCTTCAAGAAAGAGGAATGGAAGAAAAGATTCCAATCCTTACAACAAATTGATGTATTAACCTAACAAATTTTCAGCATCTGGGTGAATTCTAGAGGGTGATGCTGTAAACATCAACATGGAGTACAATTGAAGCATACTACTGAGCTTGCCTTGTTCCAAAAGAAATGGGAGTAGTTCTTCCAGGGCAAAAATACCATTGTGCAAGCTCATTTCACCATCACAGTCTCTAAGCCGTTTCAGTAACTAACCTGTAACATTTTGTTTGTCATCACAGGTTAAAGATATTCTGAATTTAGTACTTTAAAAAACAGTATCCTAGAAGCCTTTTGCACTTTAAACATGTAATCCATTTTTTAATCTTTTGTTTGCAAGCACATCGACTCTTGGAAATAGACACTGCCAGCTTTGCTGCATGATTAACATAAAATTGGCCACAATACTAGGAAGGAATCTCTCTTCAGTGAGCACATCACCATGCCAACAAACAGTAGGTAAGCCAGAAGCTCACTCCCTCATCTTGCTATCGTTGTAACTCCAATCAAAGCTGCTGTAACTAGAAATGCAATTAGCAGAAAAACGATCTTTTTTATCTTTTGAAGCCTCATTCCCATGAACGATGGTGGTTAAACACTAACAAAGCCTTTCATATGTTCCCATGTTTTTTGTGTTAAACAGCAAGACAGTTTTGTTTTCAAAGCAAAAGGATAACTCAAGAGCTGCTTAATGAACTGTTCACAGTGATGCTGAGAGACAAGAGAAATTCAGCTCCTGCGTGTGTTCCAAGGCCTCAAATTGTCTAGATAGTTGTGGCTATATTACTAGTGTGGTTAAAAAAAATCCCATCCTTCCATGTGAACTGCAGATACATTTCACTTTCAGCAATATAATCAAACTGCATGGGCACAAATGACCAGGCATAAACAATGTGTACCTGTGTCACAGTCTGCCCCTCCTCTCC